GGGTCCACTGTGGGCCTAGTACATCTGCCTGCCTCGTCCAGAGTGTCACCGGTGCTCTGAAGAGAGGACACAAAGGCCAGCAGAGGCCCAGAACTGAGGTCACTTATGTCTCAAATAAGTAGCAAATACCAAGTTTCCCACAACAAGAAACCGTAGGTCACGCACTGTAAAGGGGACTCTAGATCTCTGGGGTTCCCATCTGAGGGTGTGTCTGACCTATGGCCACCGTCACAAATAACCACAAATCTGGCAGCTGAAAATAACAGTCTGTGTCCTCACAGCTCTGGCTGGAGGGGAGGATGGGTTCCTCGCCTCTTCTGCCTTCCAGCAGCTGCCGACTTCCCTGGGTCCTCCCCTCTCTGGGTGTCTCTGCCTCAAAGATCCCGCTCCCTCTTTCTTATCAGAGCACCCCCCCCCCAGATATTTCAGATAAGCTCCTCCTCTCAAGAACTTTTATACATATTTTGTCATGCATACATAAGGTAATATCACAGGCTCTGGGGATCGGGGTATGGGCATAGCTTTGAGGGGGGGACCACTGAAAAAGGCTGATAGATTTTAGGAAAGGAAGAAGCTCAATTTCATAATAACATAAAGAATATCCTAGGACAGGAACCCGTTTCGTCACCTCCAGCATGTGGTCACGCAGAGAGAGAACTGAGGCCCAGAGCGGAGGTGTAATTCACCCAGGATCACCCCTCTGGATGTGCACGTCTTTAGTTTAAAGTGGGGGGGTTAAATGTAAGCGATGGTGAATATATGCCGTGAGGAACTGGACAGGTGCCAGGTGCTACCACATCCTCTGTGATTCCCTTGCCCTAGACTTTGCCTGAAAGGCTGGCAGAGGTCATCGGGAAGGATGTTTGTCACACACATGTGCCTGGAGCACTTACAGCCCTGTACACAAGGTCATCACGGTTGGTCATGTCCTACCTGGGAGAAAGCAGGCCTGGAAGCATATGGCTTAATCCAGAACCCCATAATATGCTGGGTACTTGCAGGGTTCCCCGACAGTCCCAAGCCCCCAGGAACTCAGATCTGGGTGGTGCGGTCAGAGCAGCATTGACCGAGCACTCCTTTCCTTCCCTCCCTAGAGGACGTGGCGGGAGCCCAGGTTTCCCCGCTAAGTTGGCACTGAGAGGCCATCCTCTTAGCTCCCTGATCAGCACGACCGAGCAGCACACTTTGAGGAGGACATTTATCAGATTTCATTTGTCAGGTGAAAGGAGGAATAAAAGCTTAGAAAGACAATGGAAGAGGAATCTGAGATAGAAAAAAGAAAAAGAGGGCTCGGGCCACGTACGCTGGGGCTCGTGGGTTTGAACCCATCCCGGGCCAGCTAACCAATAATGACAACTACAACAACAAAAATAGCTGGGCGTTGTGGCAGGTGCCTGTAGTCCCAGCTACCTGGGAGGCTGAGGCAAGAGAATCGCTTAAGCCCAAAAGTTTGAGGTTGCTGTGAGCTGTGATGCTATAGCACTCTACTGAGGGCAACATAGTGACACTGTGTCTCAAAAAATAAAAGAAAAAAAAATTTTAAAAAGAGGAGAAAAACTAGTGAGAGTGAGTGGACAAAGTTAATCCCACACTGAGACAAAGTCAGTTTTAAATGCAGGGACCTCGCAGGGTTGATGACCCAGGAGAGGCTATTTTTGAAAAACCCACGATGGGCAGGGCTTGCTTTGCCTGAGTGGCCTCTGGACCCCTGCCCAGGTTGTCCTGCAGAACTCGATGGGGTACAGGCGGCCTTTCTGGCTTTGCTCCCAGCCCGATCCCTGCAAAGTGCAGTGAATGTTTACAGCAGGAGTAATTGGCAAATTATAATCAGCAGGGTTCTGTAAACATCCCTGCAAAGTACATAAGAGTAGACGGCTTTCTGCTCAGCCAGCAACTTTCTCTAAAGGAGTTTAGGAAACTTTTGGAACAATGTAGTACATTAATCACTATCATGTCAGGATGGGATATTGCCTTAGTTTGCAACATCAGGAAATCAAGGGGCTGATGCCTTAAACAGTTTTAAACCAACTGTACAGAGATTTAAAGATTTGATGCCTGAATTAATCAGGATAGGCTAGGTTATCCCGTAATGACAAACAACCCCCAAAGTCTCAGTGACTTAATGAAGTTTATTTCTCATTCACGCTACACGACCATCTGTAAGGTGTGGGGAGGAAGCTGTCACTCTGGTTGATGGAACAGCCACTTTCTGGGCTGTAGCCACTTTTTCTGATAGCAGAAAAAAAAGTGTGTAGTTTTTTAAAGCAGTTAAGATTCAGGAGTTGTAACCTTGGCGCCTTATTTCTGCATTTGTAAATTGTAGGTGATAAATTCTGGCTTTTCTTCCTTGAAGTGATACATATGATCTGTAATAACTTGTATAAAGTAATGAAACCGACCTTTGTAATTTCGATTTTGATTTAATAAGCTATATATCCTTATGCATAGCTTCAAATGAAAAAGAGTTCATTTGAAAGGATGAAGTTTATTCTAGTGATGGCATTAACTGCTCAGAGCCTTTTTAGTTTTATTCAATTTATGAGTCACCAGGAAAAGGCATTTTCTTATTGTAGAGATTTCAATATATAAAGGGCTGTGTCCCAGGCTAATCAGAAGGACATATCACTAGGAAGAGGCCAAATGTCAATTTCCACAAGGCTATAAAGATGGCATTCATTACTCTAGTGAATTCTTCAATGTGTTAAGCCATCTCTTTATCTATGCAGGCTCAGAAACCTGATTTTTTTCATCCTTGAGGGAAGACTCACATTTACCCAAGTTCAAGGTACTGATGTATAAATCAGGAGTGCCAATGTACTGATTTCAAGTGAGCAATATAGCTCTCACACAGCCAGGGCTCCCAGGACACATGATCCTTGACCTCTCACTCGGGGGTAGCATCAGCAGAGGAGGGATGGCAGAGGGATTATGCATGTGGGCTTAGAGTCCAGCCAGACCTCAGTTGTTGTTTTTATTCTTCTTTCTCTTTTATTGCATCAAAATATACATAAGATAAAACTTACCGATTGTAATCATTTTTATGTGTGCAATTTAGTGGCATTAAGTGTATTCACAATGTTGTAACTGTCACTACTATTTCCAAAATTTTTCATCATCCAAAACAGAAATTCTGTACCATTAAGTAGTAACTCTCCATCCTTTCCTCCCGCCATGCCCTGGTAACCTCTATTCTGTTGTCACCATAAGTTTGCTTACTATAATTACCTCATCTAAGCAGAATTATAATACCTGTCCTTTGGTGTCTGGCTTCTTTAACTTAGCATAATGTCTTCAGGATCCATCCATGTCAGAATTATTCATTCTTTTTTCCAGCAAAAATAATATTCCATGGTGTGCATCTGAACTTTGTTATAATTCCTGGCTTTGCTGTAATGGTGAGAACAGGCTGGCTGCTGTCTCTAGGTCTCCATCGTCTTTGGCAAAGGAATGATAATGTCTATTCTAGACAGTTGTGAGATCGGGACACGGTGGTACCTCAGCCAGTTCCTGGGAAAGTGTGGAATTAGAAGGAGAGGTAAATATAATATGATCGGCTAACATAACCTCAGGCTTATCCCAGGGGGAGCAGCTGGAGTGCTCAGTGCCTGTTGGCTAAGATCACATTTGTTTCCCTGGCCCCCCTTCTTCCCCAAACTGCCCTCCCACCCCTCTCCACACACCACCTTCCATTCATCCTTACCTGCTCTCTGGAGCAGAGAATAGATGTAATCGTATTATAGATACACTATGCCAACCCCAGGAATCGGGCTTCCCGGGCCAACAGAATAAGAAACACATTCAGGAAAATTGAAAATAATGCATATAAATGCACACAGTCACACACACATGCACACACACACACACACACACACACACATTCTCTCTCCTGGAATCTTTGTCTTTGCTCTGAGCTTGGGGATACCCAGTAAATGTCCTTGGAACGGAACAGTTGTCACAGAATAAAGGCAATGCGTTTTCGTATGCATGAAATGGAAGGTAATTTAGAAATAGCTGTTCTCTGGCAGGCCGTGTGTCCCATCACACAGCCTTTCCTCCTCCCCACTGCACTGCTCGGTGTTCTTTGATCATTTCAGGGACCGGGGAGAATAACGTGTCGACAATACTCACCAGCATCTCTGGGGGGATTTTATGCCCGGAGCTCTGATGCCCATCTTTAGACTGGCAGAGGTTTTAAAGAAAGAATTTTATCTTACGATAAAACATAGTTAGGTAAAGCCTCTTCTTCTTGGAAAAGGTGAATTTTTAGTTTACTCTTAAATACTATTGCCAAGGCTCTTTGGATTTTTAATTTTAGCAGTTTTAATAGGCTGTGCCTTTATTATTTCTTTTTTTTTCCTACTTCATCTGGATAGACCCGATATCAAAATTGGAAAAAATGTATCAATATAAAGGGAAATTACAAACACATTTCACTTATAATGAGGATGCAATATCCTAAACTTTACTATTTCTATTTAAAGTTATGGGGACATGCAGAGTGGTTGAGGGTAGAGTCTCGGCAGCTGGATCTCCAAGGTCCAAATTCTAGTCCCAACACTTGCTTTCTCTGTAGGTGACCAGGTCCTCCCTGTACAGTGGATACCTGATAGGGTTGCAATAAGGATTAAAGAGAACAGCTTTTGTAAAGTGCTTATAACAATACCACACAGAAACGACTGGGTTTGTTAAGTGCAACTTGTTAAAAAGAAGGCATCTTCTTGTCCATGCCCTGTGAAGTGGGGAAGGAAACTACAGGTTGGACAGCTCGACCAAAAGAGCCAGTGTCATCTGTTGACAGCAGACGATGGCCTGGAACCAAGGTGGAAAGTCTTGGTCCCGCAGTGGCCCCTCACTCTGCTGCTTTATGAAAATCCCTTGCAGTGACATAGTCAAGCTTTGAGACGTTCCGCTGAAAACATTCAGATACCTGCTTTTGCAGGCTTTAGGAAGGGCAGTTGCTTATCTCTTATCCTTCTCTGTTCTCTTCTCTCCTCCGCCAGCCCAAGCTTTTGGCCAAGGAGCTTCTGGACCTTGTGGCATCTCACTTCAATCTGAAGGAGAAGGAATACTTTGGGATCGCGTTCACAGATGAGACGTAAGTACTGCCACAGCCCTCTGAACCCCACAGAAAAGGGAGTTGGACTGGCTGCTCCAGCAGCCAGCAGGGGGATCAGCTGTGGGCCACTTGGGTCCCGTGGTCTGGGGTCAGTCCAAGTTCATCATCTGCGTTTCAAAGGCCTTGTGATCATGGCTGGAATAGCCAAGGGATATAATTAGGATGATGCCAGTATTATGAGATTATTAGGTGAACTAGTTCTTAAACACATAATCAAGCAGGTTCACGTGCAGACCGAAATGTTTATTTTTTTTTGTTAAAGTAGATCTGTGTGGGTTTGTTTTCTATTAAAGCTAAACGAAAACTTCTGGAGGTGAAACGTTTCTCTCCAGGGTTGGGATAACAATAACAGGAAGTGAATTTAAGGATAAATTCAAAATGAAAAAAAGCTAGGCACTCCCCCGTCTAAGCCAAAGCAGAGAGAAAATGATGATCAAACATTCAGGTCGCTGGTCTGTGCAGAATATTATTTGCTTCTGCTGGTCTTCCCATGTGGCTCTGTAAAATGGTGTTTTACAATACAAGGAAAGAGAACCATTACTAAAGTCTCAATGTCCTTCTTATTGTCCTGTTATCGGAAGAGTACAGAGAAGGTCTATGCAGATCCTGAGAGAAAAATGAGCTGTTGTGAGCAAATGGTTCGTAATTCTCTTTCCTCTGTGCGTGTGCTTGTGTGCACGTGTATACCGCTCTGGGTCTCTAGAATTACAGACATGGTCCCCTAAACTACTAGTAGATCAGTGTTAGGTTAGCAGCTAGGCAAGGATCCCTTGGCCTGGGAATAGGGGATGCCGTGGAGGCAGGATGGCACGGTCCTAAAGCAAGACCAGGCGGCCTCCCCATCGGTCAGCAGCAGAGGTGTCCAGGCAGAGCTGCACAGGAATTGTGCCCCTGAGAGGTGCAGATGGACCGGGCGGCCACATGATTTATCATCCAAATCGGGACCCTGTGAATAAACAGGGCTGTAAATTGGGGCTGGCTTGGACAAACTAGAACATATGATCGCCCTATACATTAGTGATGTTGGGGGCTATGGTGTGTCCAGGGAGCAGGTGGCAGGAACGAAGTCACATCTTCCTCAAGAAAAAAAAGCCCTGTCCTGGTGCCCGTAGGAGACTGATCTGGAAGACAGAGATGGCTGCCCCTGGTCAGCAGGAATTACCAGGAAGGGAGGAGAAAGCCCAGCCGGGAGAAGTTCAGGGCTTCGGCAGAAAGGAGGCTGCTCACACGTCAAGACCAGGCGTCTTGCCCTCTCTAGCCACAGAGCTGGTAGCATGGACGCTCTGTAGGGGGTGATGGTGAGGAGGAGGTGAGCCATTGTGGAAGCTTTCTCCGGGACGATGATGAATAGCATGTGAGTCGTCCTTCGGGCACAGCCCAGCGATATTGTGGCCGCCTCCATCACCTGGCCCAGACTCTGGTGGTAGGAGTGATGGACAGCCAGGAGAAGTCAGGGGAAACAGCTGGAGCTGGCAAACAGTTTCCAAAAGGGAACTGGAGAGTGTGTCTGGCACACCAGGGACAGGGTAAATGGCAGGGGCAAGTGCCTCCATGGAGACAGAAACACAAGTTGGCAAGGGACAGCTGTGACCCAGGGCAGTCAGTCCCGGCCAGACAACGCCTGGGCAACAGGCATTGTTGGGGCCACTTTGGGGATCTGAACTTATCTCCTTTTCCTGGAAGCAAAGGGAAAACCAAAAGCTGTCCCCTGTAAATAGTGCCAGTGGATGTCACCTGCTCTAGGTCAGTGAATTGTGTGTCGTTAAGCACTAGCTTTACGGTATTCCCCAAGCCTTCTCTCTGTGTACACTAACACAAGATCTTTGTAATAACCATGTTATCAGATTGTGCGTGTGGGGGTGTGTGTGTGATTTATATAGGTGCTACACTGTGTGTTGTATAATAAAATGTGATCGCGGTTTCATTCTTCATGCAGCCGATGGGGCACTACCTGCATGCGCCTGTTTCCAAGTGCAAACCCAACAGGATTAACACTTGGGAAGTGCTTCTGATCGGTAAAGGCCTGTACAAGTGCAAGCTCTTGTTACCAACAGCATTATCATTCCTAGGAGCAGAATTTTTGCTATTGTCAGGGACCATTGAGAATTAACTGCTCTTGGCATCGTGTGGGATCCAGATGAAACTGGAGAAAAGAAGTATAAAACAGGAATAGACAGGAAACTGGCCGTCTCTGTAAGCATCTCCCGCTCCCTAATCGCATTCATTAATAAAATGTCTGAGTCCACAGTGCAAGACTTTATGCCCAAGAATGTTAAATATTGTCTGTAATCCAGCAGTTTTTATGGCATGATGCTAGCTCCACCTTCTCTTTTTTAATTTAAACTTTTAAACTGTTCAGTCAGAAATAATCTGACTTGCTCAGGCTCAGTGGCTCATGCCTGTGATCCTCACATTCTGAGAGGCTGAGGTGGGTGGATTGCTTGAGCTCATGAGATCAAGGCCAGCCTGAGCAAGAGAGAGAGACCTTGTCTCTACTAAAAAAAAAATAATAATAATAAATTAAAAAATAGAAAAACTAGTCAAGTGTGGTGGTCAGCACCTATAGTTCCATCTACTCGGGAGGCTGAGGCAAGAGGGATTGCTCAAGCCCAAGAATTTGAGGTTGCTGTGAGTGATGCCACCTCATTCTACCCAGAGCGACAGAGTAAGACTTTGTCTTAAAAAAAAAGAAAAGAGAAGAAATAATTTGACTTGAAGAATTGTAAAAAGAGTAGAGTTCTTGTATACCTGGCTTCAACAAGTGTTACCATCTTACAAACCATGTCCAATTTATCAAAACTAAGACATTAACACTGGACTGTATTTTTTTTTGAGACAGAGCCTCAAGCTGTCCCCCTGGGTAGAGTGCCATGGCATCACGCTCACAGCAACCTCCAACTCCTGGGCTCAAGCGAGTTTCCCGCCTCAGCCTCCCAAGTAGCTGGGACTACAGGCGCCCGCCACAATGCCTGGCCATTTTTTGGTTGCAGCCATCATTGTTGTTTGGCGGGCCTGGGCTGGGGATTCGAACCCACCACCTTAGGTGTATGTGGCTGGCGCCTTAGCCGCTTGAGCCACAGGCGCCGAGCCACTGGACTGTATTTTGAACTAACCTAGTGACTTTACTCAGATGTCACCAGTCTTCCCACCAGTGTCACTTTCTGTTCCAGGATTCATTTGATCTGGCCTCGTCTCTGTTTTACCAACTCTGTCCTAATAAAAGGAGATATAGGTGGTCATCTATAAATGATCTCAATTGTGATGAAATAGGCAAACCAGGACATTTTGGCAGCCTTTAAAACATTCTGAAACAAAGTAAGAGAGCCTGGTATAAACTTGATCTTAAAACAATTATTATAAATATTTGGTTTGCCACGGTTGTGGAACTTAACTGTAACACAACTCAATAGTTGTGGCTGCCTGATGGAATTACCTGGAATGCTTTATAAAATACCAAGGCATGGGACCTGCCCCAGAAAGTCTGATTTAATCCATCTGGGTGTGACCGGAGCATAGCGAGTCCTCACAGAGCCCCCAGTTGATTCTAATACATGGCCACGCTTGAAAACCCATGTTCTAGAAAGAGGGACTGTTGGTATTAATTTAGGGTGACCAGATGTCCCACTTTTGGAAGTCCCGATTTTTGGAAAGAATGCATGAATGGGCAGGAGACCAGGAAGGGAATCTATGGTTTGGGGCTGCCATGTGGCTATTTCGCCAGAATATGAGTTTTATATTATTTTTGTTAATTTTATAATGTTAAACTGCAATAATAACAAATAATTGTTGAGAAGTGATTATTGAGAACTGCTTATCAAAGTTTGCATTGCTGTCAGGCCCTGCCCTGCCCTGTCCCGCCCCCGCCCCGCCCCCCAGCCATGTTGTCCCGCTTTACAAATGTTAAAATCTAGTCACCCTATATTAATTTCCTCTTCTCTCTCCCTCTAGAGCAGTGTTTTTCAGCCTTTTCTATCTCACGGTGCACTTGAACATATAGTTAAACTTCTGTGGCACACTTAAGTGATGTTGATCAAAAAAAATAGAGCAAAAAAAAAAAAAGAAAGAAAGAATATACATACTGTGCTTTGAACTTCTTCTGAAAATAATGTAATTAATAATTTTTCGTGGCATTGTAAAAGGGACTTTCCCTAACAAATGCAGTCAGTGAAATTTGGTTTCTTGTACCCTCAATGAATCCCCAACAATAAATTTTTTTTAAAAAATTTAAAAAAGAAATTTTCATGGCTCAACTAAGATCCACACCCAATCGCTGAAAATCGCTGCTCTTGAGCCAAGAAGCTGACTCGACTTAAACTTTGAATGTTGAGGCCAATGGTGACACCTGCTAGGGACCTGCAAAGTTAGAGCCCTTCTTGATTCTATTCCTAACAGTTTGAGAACCAACACTGAAGCTCAGATGTAGTTTTTCTATGTGTTGAAGTTGTGTAACTTAAATATGCCTGGATCAAAAATTGCCATCCATCATTTAGAGAAAGTCGTCTTTACGTTTTATTTTCCCAATATTTCTTTTGTTTTCAGACCTGAGTTTTACTTTTTTTTTTTTAGTTACGGACTGGGAGTGGGGGAGAAAAGCGGGTCCTATCATGAAAAACTGTAACTGAACAACTTTTCAGTTTGAGCAGAAATAATCCAACATACCCCAAGTGGAAGTAATGATTGTCTTAATAGATTTAAATGAATCACTTGTCATAAGTGTTAAGCATTGCTCATTGAATGCTATAAATAAGCATCTATGTTAAAAAGGAAAACCTTTTAAAATATTTAGAAACTAGAAGGAGAAGGAGAATAAACTTGGTTAGCCATTACCGCGTATTTTAAAAGCCAGGTACAGTCAGAATGTATTTTACCAATTAAAAATGTAAGCACTGCTCAGTAGCTCAGCTGGTAGGATGTGGGGCTGTAGGGCTCATGGGTGCTCACAAAAGGAGTGCAGGGTGTCTCTTTTATGACCTGCTGCC